AATATATTTTATTGATTTTTTTACAGAGAGGAAGGGTGAGGGATAGAGAGTTAGAAACATTGATGAGAGAGAAACATCGATCAGCTGCCTCCTGCACTCTCCCCGCTGGGGATGTGCCCGCAACCAAGGTACATGCCCTTGACGGGAATCGAACCTGGGACCCTTGAGTCTGCAGGCCAACGCTCTATTCACTGAGCCAAACCGGACAGGGATCAACTTCACCTTTTAGAATTTCTCTGGTTCCTACATGCACAAGGGATTGATAAGAGGGATACACTAGAACAGCAATTTCCAACCTTTTTTGGTCTCATGCCACACACAAATGAATTGCTAAAATTCTACAGGGTGAGCATGGAAAGCTCTCAATGAAGTACTCCCTTGCTCACGCACGCGCACACACACACACCATATATATATTTTGCTGATCTGGCAAAAAATAGGTATAATTTTGATTCGTTTACACCAGGCAGCTATTGTTGTGTTGGCTGTTTTCATTTCTTTATTTGACAATCTATATGGAAAGAGGTCAGTGCTCCTGACTAAATAGTCACGCCTTGTATGTTTTAAAAATTCTTGTGGCACACCGGTTAAAACTCCCTGCACTAGAAGAAATCCCAGGACACAGATATTTTCTGAAGAGCCGTAGAAATAGGCTTTTGGGTCCCAGAAGGCAACAGCAGTAGACTAAGAGGACGGGGTGAGCTGGAAAATGTGCAGGAGACACAACTGATAGGAAATTGTAGCAGGATGTGGGTTGTAAGGGAGATGGAACTTTATGATCTGCATGGCCAGGTGAAAATGATGACACTAAACAAGACAGGGAATTAATATGCCTGCTTTTTTGTTAATTGTTATTGATTTTATCAGCCTCCTTAGGGGGATGGTCTGCACCCCTTCCTGACTCCCTGAACCCAGTGAAAGAAAACAAACACACACACAAACAAATGCACAAAAAATCGCAGCCGCACTTTCTCTACGGGACTCCTAGTGGACACAGGCCCCTCTCCCCCTGACAAAGCTGGGGGATCACTTGCTCAACCTGGGCAGGCGTCTGGTCACCTGCGAGGCAGCTTTCTGATTTAGCCTCCCTACTTAGCCTGGCAGTGACTCGCCTGCTGCCTGCCACCCCTTGGCACAGGTCACAGCTGCTGTTGTCCTGTAGTTATGTTTACTTGGGCCGTGGAGGGGGTCCTGCTGTCAAGGGTGACTACCCAGTGCTCCTGGTCTCAACCTCTTGTGAGGCGGAGGGAGCTGTTCTCAGGAGCCCTGACACGCCGCCTGTAAGTCACCGTCAGTGAGCTAAGGTCACAGGCGTGGAAAGAGCCAAAGGTGACAACGCCGAGGACTTACATGGCCCCCACCAGAGACCAAGTACATCAAAGGCCTGATCTAATGTGCCCTCTAATGCCTGCGCCCCGGAGGGCTTGCGGGGAGGCAGCGATTAGAAGCTGGTCTGAAGCTTTGGTTAAGGACCTTGAATGACCAGTAAGGCAGCCTGGGTTCCGGCTCTCATTCTTCTCTCTCTTTTATTTATTTATTTATTTTTTGAGAAGACAGAGCTGACTGACCTTCTCAAGATGGTTTCTAAGCTCCTTGTTTCCCTCCTTCCGTTTGAAGGACTTGAGCGAGATGGTGGGTGCCTTTGATCTTAATCCCCCCGAGGAAGCAGCCTGCTGGTCTCAAAATGTACATTAATTATCAGGCTACACAAACAGCCCTCTGTGATATGGAGAAGTCTATGACGAGGTCATTTCTAAAAAGAAAATTAGATCTTGAGGGTAAGTAATTATGGCTGGAACAAGTCCCCGAGATTGATTTTCACGCCTGTGCAGTCTACCCCTTGTCATCTAGAGCTCCCTAGTGGATGCCAATTCCATTCCCTGCTTCTTCGGAGACACCGGCAGGCTTTGAGTGACCGTGGCTGGTAGCACGTGTTGGCCTTGATCAAGGTGACACAGAAAGCCTGTGGGCAGTGTGACCTCCCCCAGGTTCCCACCTGCCTCCCAGGGTCTCTCTGTGCCCCTGTGTGTGAGACAGTGCCTCCCCACCCGGGCACTGCCGCCGCGGCCGTCTCCTTTACAAAGCCAAGGAAGCTGATAATGGCAGCAATAAATACCGCCAAGGCCACAGAGACCAGTACAAAGGATTAGAGGAATGACACAGGAAAGGCGATTACAGAAACTTAATCTGTTACATGCAGCTTTGGGCAAAGGAGATAAAGGGAGGGTGACTGTTTACAAATTGTAAAGGGCGGTACGGGGGGATTTGGGAGCGCAGGCCTGGCAATGGGTAAATGGGTCTAGGCAGGACAAGGGCTGTAGGGAAGTCACCCAGGAGCAGAGCAGGCCGGAGACTCAGGAGACAGGCAGCATTCAGCAGCAGCAGAAAGAGTAAGGAGAGGGGGAGGGGAGAAAGAGAGGGAGAGGGGGAGAGAGAGAGAGAGAGATTTTGAGGGAATAGGCAGGGTGCCCCTAATACTTGCTATGATAGCTTAGCATCAAGGTCATGATTTTTCAAATGAAAAATACTTGGACCGAAGGTAAGATTCATGAAATGACTAAGCTTTTTTCTCCCCAAGAGATTGAAATCTGCCAAATGCACATAATTTTAATTTAAAGATAAACATTATAAGATGCCATTAGTTTCCTCAAATGCCACAAGCGGATGGAACATGGGGCCTCACCCCAAGGAGGCCCGTCATTAAGTGTGTGAGGCTCAGAGAACCCTGTCCCCGAGCAAGGCCGTGTGAGAGGGGGGCTCCTCACGGACTCACAGCGCCTCCTTTCGCTTCGCTGGCTCCAGGCATGGACTTTCCTTGTTTGGCAGACCCAGGGAGAGTAGTAACTAAAAAGATGCTCTTTTAGTTAAACCACAGAGTTTGTTATTTTTTTAAATTATCATTCTTTTAGTCAATATTAGTTCTTTGTGAAAAATGGAAATTTTTGGTTTGAACTTGACACTGCCTGATTCTATCTACAGAACTATCGATGTGATTGTTCAGCTATGGTGGCTGTAGGAAGACTGGGCTGTGCTTAGTAACTGGAAGGAAAAGACAGCATGAATACAAACCGTTCCCTGAAGTGAGTTGCATTGATTAGAGAGCTCTATCGAATGGCGCTCCCTTTTGAAATGGCAATGGACATCAAACTGAACTGGGTACACAGAGTAAATGTACTCCGTTCTGTGACATTACACAAAGCCTTGATTTTTATAAAAAACACTGATGCCCTGGCTGGTTTGGCTAAGTGGATAGTGCACTGTCCTGTGGACTGAAGGGTCCCAGGTTCAATTCTAGTCAAGAACAGGTACGTCAGTTGCAGGCTCCCAGCCCTGGTCAGAGCATGGGGGAGGCAACCAATCGATGTGTCTTCACATCGGTGTTTCTCTCTGCCTCTCCCTCTTCCTTCTCTCTCCCTCTCTCTAAAAATCAATGGGAAAAATATACTCGAGTGAGGATTTAAAAACAAAAACAAAAACACACTGATGATGTAAAAACAATGTTTAAATGGGTAGTCAACTTTAATGGAATTAATGAAATGATAATCTTATGCCAATTAATTCCAGCAGAAATTAAACCGTGGCTGTCAAAATGTTTCCTTAAATGAACTGTACCGATTTGCTGGTGGGGAGGCAAAAGGCTTTAGAACTGGATTTTATACAAATAAATTATAAGAAGTTGAGCAATTACCAAGTAAGTGTGTGGGCTGCTGTAAGCACAGAGGGATTCTGGGTGTGACAAGTCACCTCTGAAACATAATGAGTTACTTTAAGAAAGAGAAGAAAAAAGCAGACCAATTAGAAAATAAGGCATTTCTCAATGAGTCACAGGTGGATAAAGCCAAGGGCACCAAGAGAACTTCCTGCCCGAAAGTGTTCTTCAGTGCCTGGTGTTAAATCTCATGACAGTTATGTTCAGGGACGTTCCAAGCAGAGGAAGGTGTGGCCTTGCCCCTTTCCAAGTCTGTTAGGAGGCATTATATTACTGGTGAACTTACTTTGGGCAACAGAGGACTGGTAAACTACCTGCACGTCTTTCACAGTAGGTGGGGGGTTCTTTGGACTAAAGGCTTGAAGGTCACCTAAATATTGGTGTAGAAGGAACACCTGCTCTGTTCTGTCTACTAGGCACCAAAAGCACATGGTATTCCTTCAACACGAGAGTATCTCTTACCTTGGACTCTGCTTGTGGGGCCAATTTGAACTGTGAGAACTTTTTTCTGACTGCAAAGGCTCCAACTTTGAAATCGAGTTCTCCTGTAATATCTCACTCATATGTAGATGTGTCAGCTTACCTTGGATTCTGCTTGTGAGGCCAATTTGAACTGTGAGAACTTTTTTCTAACTGCAAAGGTTCCGACTTTGAAATAGAGTTCTCCTGTAATATCTCACTCATATGTAGATCTAGAAGAGTCAAGCTCATAGGAACAGATCATAGAATGATGGTTGCCAGGACTGGGGGGCAGGAGAAATGGGGGGATGTTGGTCAAAGGGTACAAACTTCCGGTTATCAGATGAGTAAGTCTTAGGGTTCTAATGTACAGCATGGTGACTATAGGAACAGACTGTTATGTACTTCAATACAGCCAGGAGAGTAGATCCCAAATGTTCTCACCACAAAAAGGTAATTATGTGAGGGATGGGTGTGTTAATTAACCATATTGTGATAACAATTTCACAATATATACATGTATCAAGTCAACACATGTACACCTTAAACTTACACAATATGTCAATTATATCATAATAAAGGTGGAAAAAAAGAAACACAAATAAAAGAAAATAGAGTTCTCCTTAACTGCATATTAACTACTCTGGTTAGTTGATTTTATCAACCTTCTCTACATTAATGCAAATATAAAATTGACCTGAAGTCTCTCTCTCTATCTATATATATAGATGTTCTGTACTTGCTGCAAACGACCAACCCTATGATATCATTATAATGAGAATTTTTATTTATTTTATTTTATTTAGTCCATGTCTTTTATTAACCTAAATACAATTGCTCGTCTTCTGGTTTGTTGAAACATTTGCCACAATAATGTCTGTCAAAGTGGCTGGCCATAAACACTCCAGCACCACATTCGTCTGAGGGCACTCCTGAAAAAGGTGACTGGTTTTGCCATTCTCATCCACTTCGTGGTATTTCAGGACAGCCAGCTTAACCTTCTTTCTCTTATGCTTGTTCTCCTTGGGAGTGGTGTAAGACTTCTTCTATCTTTTCTTAGCACCACCATGAAGTCTCAACACAAGAGGAAGAGTGGACTCCTTTTGAATGTTGTAGTCAGACAAAGTATGTCCATCTTCCAGTTGCTTGCCAGCAAAGATCAGTGAGGAGGAATTCCTTCCTTATCCTGGATCTGGGCCTTTACATTTTCTATCCTATCTGAGGGTTCAACCTCGAGAGTGATGGTCTTCCCCGGGAGGGTTTTCACGAAAATCTGCATCTTGGTGGGGACTCCACTGCAGATGGCGGATTGAAAAAAAAGCATAACGAGGAGAATTTTATGCAACTTACTGATTTAGGTGGGAGAATATCACTTTTTTGGGTTAATGTAGAAAACTCGATGGTCACTTCCTTTAACCCATAAAAAATTAGAATAATAGCATTTTTCTAGCATGTTCCAGGCCCTGATAGATGTTTGATATATCAAACAGGACATGTAATAGCAGAAATTCAGGGAATATTTGCTGAGATAATTCATGAGTAATTATTGCCTCTTGACAACTGGTGATGACCATGTAGGTTTTAGCCCCCTTTTAACATGAGAGGTGAGGAGAAGTCAGATAAATTGCTAATTTATAGCTATAAAAAATTGGAGCAACATAATGAAACTTTGCTGCTTAAAATACTTTAATTACTTACTGTGGTTACATTATTTGGGTTTCCTAACCTCTAGTTCTCCTGAAGTTCAGGAGACACTGCCATTTACTGAGATTATGAGTGTGAACAAATTAGCATTTGAAATCTTTGAACTTTATCTTAACATACTAAGCGCCCAGCCTGTTTTGTCTCCCAGACGGAAAGTATAGTGTCAGTCACTGGTGACTGGGTGCTTAACGTGTTAAAAGCAATCACTAATACTGTGAAAACATCTACAGTGGGGCCTTGACTTACGAGTGTCCCGACTAACGAGTTTTTCGAGATACGAGCCGTCTCTCGCCGATTTTTTTGCTTTGAGTTACGAGCTAAAATTCGTGTTACGAGCCAGCTTCAGATACCCTACCGCTAGTTGGTGCAGCGAACGTCACAGTGAACACCACAACATCAGCCCAGCATCACGTGTCTCACTCGTTCACTTTAAGATTTGACATACGAGTAATTTGAGTTATGAGCTCCGTCACAGAATGAATTAAACTCATAAGTCAAGGCCCCGCTGTATATCTATACTTCACTTACTCAAAACCCACATGCATTATACTTGTATTCCTCAGTATACACATTTCTTTAATAATTTCTACATAATTTCTTTATCAAATTAATAGCATAATACATAGAAGAATGTTTGAAGAGTTAGTAGGAGCTGGTTCTAAAAAGTGATAATTAAAATTGAACCTTATTTATTCAGTAAGAATTCCAGGAATACTGTCAGTATATAGATACCTGATTTTAATTTAAATATATTATACATTATTTTTATATTAGACATTATTATTTATATATTATGTTATTTTACATAATCTTATATACTAGAGGCCCGCTGCACAAATTTGTGCACAGGTAGGGTCCCTTGATTGGGGCCATGGGAGGTTGGCCTGTGCAGGGAGGGGAGGGGCCGCAGGAGGTTGGTTGTGGGAGCTCACTGATGACCAGGGGGCAGCTCCTGCATTGAGCATCTGCCACATGGTGGTCAGTGCGCATAATAGCGACTGGTCATTCAGTCACTTAGGCTTCTATATATATATGCATATATATATGCATATATGTGTATATATATATATATATATATTCACAGAGGAATGCAAGATGAAAAATATCATGAAATGTGCCAATTTCAGTTCAGTTTCTTCATTGTGATATTGTACTATAGCTATATGAGACTTTGCCATTGAGGGAAGGTGAGGGCAGGGTACCCAGGACTATACTGTTTTTGCAACTTCTTGTGAGTCTATATTGATTTCAAAATAAAAAGATTTTAAAGCAGGTATAGAATGATTTTAAAACTATTAATCATTTAAAAAGAGAAATATCCCTTCACACAATTGGCATTTAAAACAACCTTCTTTTCAGAGACTTACTTCTAAAAGTCTTAATTTTGAAGTGATGACTTTTTAAAGTTTTAATCCAAGCAGGCAGCTGTGTCAATTCAAAAAAACTATGGTCTGTGAACATTAAAGCTTCAACTTTGATCCTCCACTCTCCATTTTCTTCTTCAAAATAAAAAAATGAGAGGATGAAATTTGCAGAAGCAACTAATCTGTCCTGAACTTGTAATGGACACTAGTGCTGTTTTTGCACTCCCAGGACAATGCTCTCCTGGAGGAGTTGTTGAAAAGTCAGAAGCATTTTCATAACAAAATAAGGAGTGTTTTTTTTCTTCCGGTGACTCTCCTGATGAAGGGGTGCTCCCGCCCCCGCATTCTCCTTGCTGGCTCCTTCCCCTGGGAGGCAGTGGTTGCCTAGTGATATGGGACCTACTGTTGCCTGCAGCTGTAAAGGCAGCCTCTGATTAGCTAATCAATTATTAGAATTGATTGGCAAATAAGTGTGCTCTCAAACCAGGAGGAAGAAATGAGATTCTATAGATTTCTCTCATCCCTCATTATGTTTGTAAAGTAATTTGGGTTTGACTCCTGCCGGGATCTGCAACTTTGCTCATTTTCTATTTGTTTTCTCCTCATACTCTTCCCAGGACAGAGCTCCTCATTCTCTCCCTCTGGCACTGCCTTGAACCCACTCCCCCTCTTACAGCTCGGGGCACTAGTTTTTAAGGTTCCCTTGCTCTCTCTCTCTTATTTCAAAGAAATCTTATTGTAGAAGTTGACTCCTTAACTGAATCGCAAGTGATGGGTAGCAGATGGCCAGGAAAGGAGTGGGGGGAGCAGTGGCTGGGCTTCATTGTAACCTTTGTGGGCCCTAGACATTTTACCTCAAGCAGTCAGTCAATCAATCGATCGGACACACAGGGTGCCCCAAAAATGTATGCACACTGACAGCTCAATTGACGTTTCTTTCTGGGCAGATTTAAACCATTGGAATTAATAATGGGTTAGAAATGTGTATATGTTTTGCCATGTGTATACACTCACGATTGTGACGGTATAAAGATGATTATACCCCAGGCTGCATTACATGAAGTTACTTTATGATTTTAAAAAAGAAAACATTTCCCTGAGCCCCAACGTGTCTCCTGAACCCCTATGTGCTGTGGCTGCTCTGTGCCAGGGATGAGGTCTTCTTAAAGAAGTCCAGCAGGAGAAAAAGGTGGGGGGGAGGGGCATGAGAATCCGTTCTCGGGAGCCTGCGGGAGACAGGCCATGAGCAAGCACCTGGCTGAAGGGAGTGGGCCGTACCTACATGCTAGAATGTGGCTGCGAATGAGATACTCGGCAGATTCAACAAACACTCGATGGGGTTCTTCTCAGTGCCCAGGACCATACACGAAGCTGTAGAAATGATCTCATTCAGTCTTTATGGCTCTATGACCACTGGTGCTTTCTCTACAGATGAAATGATGGAATAGGAAGAGAGTTCTGGTTCAGGTATTGAGTAAGGAGGTCCAGTATCTGGACTTTCATAAGCGCTGGAGAGTATTCTGATGTGGATGGTCCATGGGACGTACTTAAGAAAACACTGAAATATTTTTCCTGACTCAAAGCTTCCTGTGTGTCACGTGATAGCAGTTACGTCCTGAGTACCGGTTTCCTCGGGAGAATGAGGGTGGATACACTTTTGAGGATCGCAGGACTGAAGGTAGATTTCAAAGCACTGAAAGAACTTCATCATTGTCTTGGCTTCAAGCCTTTTGTGGAATGGATATGAAACAAAAATATATACTAGTATAGTTATGAATATATGTTTTTGCCAAACATGTGCATTTATATATGTAACAGATTAGTAGCGATGACCTTCTCTCTCTCTCTCTCTCTCTCTCTCTCTCTCTCTCTCTCCCTCCCCCCTCCCTCCCAAGAGATTAATTTTCCCAACATTTTCCGAATTATTGGGACAGGCACCAACAAAGTCACCTCATGCTGTTTTTGAGAGAGATCCCTTGATCTGACATAAAAAGGGCTTTGACCACGTCAGGGAAACCATGGTTTTGGTTATTTAGTTTGGAAACAGTGTCCCACTTTAGTTCAGTGAGCCCAGTGTAGTTGCTATTAATTGACCAACCTAGAAGAATAGTAATATTGTTCTAAAAAACTCAGCGTAGCCTTCTTTTGGAAAAAAAATCACATACCCAGAGGCCTTCAGACAACTTTCTGTTAGATTTGCAGAGGGTCTCTGCCCTCTCTCCTCTGAAGAGTATGATTAGAAGGTCTGAGTGCCAATTTCTATGGGGACATGATAGGGAAGAATACAATTAAGAACACAAGGAAATGACAAGGGTTTTTATTTTGAAACATTGTTCTCTCGGCCTTGTCTCAGGGACATTTCTAAACTGTTCTTGAGATCAGGGCTAGATGCCAGGCTGTATTATAAATGCACATGTTTTGTTTTATTTTCTTAAAAGAAAGAACTGGCTAAGCCTGCCCCAGGGACCTCCTCAGAGCCTGTTAAGCTTATAAAGAACATTTCATGGGGCTTAGAGCCCGCTGCACGCAAAGGGCGCTTCTCTGGGAGCTGCTTCTGCTTGGAATTGATGGCCAGGAGCTCTGTGGCCCGCTTGGGAGACTGTCCCCCCAGTGGAGGCTTCTGTTTGCTTGTTTCCTGTTTTGCTTTTGCTCCTGAGAGTGCAAATGTTAAGTGTTCTCAGGGGCCATGGAGGGAGGGACCTCAGGGGTTGCCTTTTTAAATTCTCTGTCCCCTGCTGCTCAGGCCCATTCTTGCAAAGGTCAGTGGAGCGGCAGGTGGCCCCTGGCTGGCCTGTGCGAGGCTGTCCGGACCTGGTGGCCATCAGGGAGAACCTGCACTTCTGCTCCTGGCTGAGGGATTTCCACTGGCCCGTGGGGGCATTTAGCGGGCAGGTGAGCTCCTTAAGTGCTTGCTGACAGCCCTTTGACAACAGAGACAAGGTCATTATTGTGTTGAAAAGGTCCCTGAAAGAATTTCTAAGAGGTGCCCCCAGACATCCTGTGTTTCTGGCTAATGGGCTCCATCAGGGTTTCTTCCAAATGGCTGGCTGCCCTCACTGGGCCTGCCCCCCTCCCTTCTGGTGCTGACGGGCAGACAAAAGGAACCGTCCCAGAGCCAGGCACAGCCACTGGTGGTGTGATTTTTGTTTTTATTTTTTAAGAGAACTGCTGTGAGAAAGAGGCCCAGCTTTTGGAGAGTCTGACTTTGAACTCTGATGTTTTTCCCATTGGGAGACCTTGAATAAC